CTAATCTGAACCAATGATGTATTCAAAAGACCATGTGACACATAAAAATTGATATTAAAGGTTTTTTTTTAATATATACTTTTAAACTAAGAAATTAACTAATGTATAATACTAAAATTTGAATTATAATCTACAATTTGCTACCAAACGTATTGAAATACTTTCATAAAATAGTAATTCAATAAAATTTTGAATGTACGTCTACAAACGTGATGACATGGCCTCTGACCATAGGAAGACCCATCAGACCCGTCTCGATAGGGTTAAGAGAGGCATTAGATAAAAGATGCAGATTTGGAGTAGCAGAAGAAATGGAAATTCAACTGGTCTGAAAATAGACACCACTGACACACCAGATCCTATTAAAGGTGTCTCGTGTCACCACAACACACAGGAATTGTCTTGTAGAGAAACACCATTATCCACAAATTAGAGATGTGTTTGCTAGGTGGAGAAGAACAGAGAAGTAGGTGCCACCAAGACTCCAGGAATTCCAAAGACAAGTAAAGAGTCCCTTGAAAAGTGTCTATCCAAAATCACAGATGCTGAGTAGATATGAACTGCAACTTGAACTTGTGAACAATGCTTTCCAAAGACGAAGTTAAATTTCATCCATATAACGATGAAAGATGATACTGAGTGTGTGTAGAAAACCAACAAATCTTTGTGTGAAGACAAGCTGAAGCCGGACGGAAAGGGAGATTGTGAATGGAAAAAAAACACGCCCTAACGAGATAAATGAATAAATGAATTTTCATCATACAAAAACCTTAACAAATGTACTTTTGTAAGATTATTGTAGTTTCTATCTTGAAATGATGAAAATGGGATCTAATACTGGTATCCACGAAAAAAATAAAAACCTGGGGAAACACTGCTTAAATAGCTCTTTTCTGAAAAAGTTTTGAAACTTCCTGATCCAAAAATTGAACATAAAATGGATTAGATGGAAAAGAATCTGGAAGAATTGACAGAGGACAAGGATGATGAAATTAAATAAAAAAATCAAATTAAACAACTGGATGAGGCCAAGGATCGCACAAATGAATACAGGATCCCAAGACACCTCCATTAAAAAAAAAAGACTGATAAGGAAAAGCTGCCTAAAAATACAGAAAATTAATGTCTGAGTCAAGAAGGCCCTCCCTGCTTTCTCCTATGTTTGCCAAAACAAAGAAGTGAAAGAAATGAAAAAAACGAGTAATTGTTAATGCAAGAGAACCACTTACTAACCATGGCATGAAAATATAGGACAAAGACCTACAGTAATGCACAAATCCAAAGTTCCAATCAACTCGTGAAGAAATACCGACTAAAACAAAACGGTGCAACGAGAGGTCATTAGAAGTAACAGAAATTGCTTCTATTTCTAACGGCACTGGTTGCAAAATGAATAGAAGGAAGAAACGGATATTTTGGAAACTTGTAACAACATATTGGATCCTTCATGGATATCCGATTTAAAATGTTACATAAG